ATTCCTCTTTTTTTCGTCTCGGTTTGCCCTCAAAAAACGGTAGAATCGCTCAGTCAGGATGAATCGATCCCGCGCCTTCGGAAAGGTCACCGTGAATGAACGAACGGCGTTACTCTTCGCGAGGACAATATTGTCCGATATCCTCGTATCCCCTCTGAGCTGAATTACTCTTGAAATGACAATTCTTCCCATTTCTTTCGCCGACGTTCTTCCCGTGCACTCGTGTCGAGTGAAATGTCGCTGCGAGAATGTGAACGCGCGCACACACACACACATGTTTTGAGAAATATAAAAAAAAATAAAATAATTGCTTTGCGCTTATTATATTTTTTCTTGTTAGACTTTAACTTTTTCACACTGAAGAAGGTCCAAACTTGTGGACTGAAACGTCTGTATATTGAATAAAGACTACTTTTTATACACGACCAACCTGTATTTTACTGCTCGTATCGGCCTTATGACTTATTTTATTATTTCACGAGCAATTGATTGAAAAAAAAAATATATAAATATATCGAGATTTTTAAAAACTGAAGTTTTCAAGATACAGTTTATTGAGACACATAATTATTAAAACTTTATACTTGTTCTTGATGAAACCAAAACAAAAAACAAAAACCAAAATAAAGAAACCATTTAATTAAAAATTCAATGTTTTTCTTTCAACAAAATTATAGCGTCGATTTTTATAAATGCGATATATTACTAATGATAATGCGGAATATGTTCCGAAATATGATGCATTCGAGAAATAACGAAGTTTGTTTCCGTGGTCAAAGCAGCTTATATACGCTAATGCCAACAATGTACCGATTGTCCCCAAGCTACGTACTGATGTAATCAGGGAATATATAGAGGGGGCCGCAACTAATTGTAATCGCGTAACGGACCCGCGGAGAACGGAGAGAGGCGTCACAAAGAATTGATTCTGCCAATTGTAATCTCGTAGGGAAATTCGGTGCGGTATCTCATCATCCGGATTGCGCCCCTGAAATACGAAATGTATGAAACGTATGTTTCCAACCTAACGAACAAACCAAATAAACCAGAATGTATATTTGTTGACTCAATGTATTTTTACATCCATTCTCTTCCTCTTTTGCGACGTGTGTAGAGAGCGTTTCATTAAATATATATAATAAATGTATAAATAATCAAAGATTTTCGGTTTTCAAGTGTTTTTTCTCACTTTTGTCGAGATTTTGCGCAAATTTGTTCTTGAAACTGCCATAAAAAAAAAAAAAAAAAAAAAAAAAACAGAAGAAGCAAAACGCAATATGTATGAAACATTTTCGAAAGTAGATTTAAATAAAACTATTCAATAAAATTTGTAGAAAAAAAATTTAAAAAACGTGATAACTCGAGTAGTTTTTTTTTTTTTTTTTTATATACAGTACATATCGAAAAAAAAATACATGCATTGAATATGCTGACATATCGTCTATGTTGATCCGAAAATTTTAGCGTTTTTTCGACACGAAACTCGTTGCATGCCTGCGCATAGCGTGGAGGACGGAATCAAAGGCAAGCGATGAGTTCGTACAAGTGGCCAACATCGTCCGTATCAAAAGGCATCAGCTTCCCTTTCACCGGCATACAAAACGAGCGGCCGCCAGCCCGCGTTGACGATGCGAGAGAGGCTGCCGGGCGGTCGTCGCGTAATCAATCAGTATCGTGGGAGCACCAAAGCCTGCGTTGATGTTTTTGCCGTGGCTTCGTAGGAAACTATAAGCGCCTATCATCGCGCGCAATTCACGGATATTCGTCAGTGCACGCGCTTCTAGGCTCAGTAACACAATTTTGTATTTCTTCTCAAAAATATGCTTACAAAAAAATCTATTCTACTTTTTACTAGTAATCCTTTTATAATATCTGTTTTTTCATTGTCGAATTATCGCGAATGTGGTTTTGCACTCTTGCAGATTTAATTTTTTTTTTTTTTTTTTTTTTGTATTGTACATACACACATTTTCTCTTTCTCTCTCAAATATTCGATATCAAAGCAGCAAAGCCTTCGCCCAATAACTCTGAAGTCACATATCGGTTTTATTGTTCTTTGCCATTATATTTCGATGCTTTTAAAGGATTAAAAGAAATATAAATATTGGAATAAAACGAAAATTTTGCATCTGCAACGTATGCGTATGGGAAAATGAAACATATTTGATTCAACAGTTGCCACCGCAGTGCATATTGCTCTCCCGGCGACCTGACGCAAGACGCCTACGCTCTCACAACACAACGCAATGCAAGCCGGTTACGCCACTGACGAGTGCATTGTGCGGCTCGCGGTGAGTAAACGAGTCACGCTGCGTCATGTTCGGGCCTGCCGCTGCCTACCGTCACGGCGGTAGCTCTTCTCCTCCTGTGCAAACACCCCCTCATACCGTCATGCGTACACAGGGTGAATTGCGTTACGTCGCCTCCGGTTTGCACCGCGGGCCCGCACTTGTGCCGGCTAATAACGATCACCAGGGACGCGGTGAGCATAATGAGGTTGACAAGTCGTCGACGATGATGATGGACCGCCGCCGCGAGGGGGTTGAAACAGCCCCTTTGCTAGCGAGAAGATTCGACACGGCCAGCTGCCAGCGGTGCGCTCTGTTCCGCCTCCGTTTCTCTTTGCATTTCCGGGGGACGACACCTCCGATTGCGCATTGGCGCTTACAGCAGGGGAACAAGAGCCTATTATGCAACATTATATTAATAGTTTTTTAACACCCTACATTTTTACATATCTTAGATGTATCTTTGTAAAATAAAAATATATTGTTTTATTTACAGTCAGAATAATATTTGTCCTCTTGGCCAATTTATTTATATTGTATAATAGTTATTGAATAGTTATTTTTAGAATATTTTTTGTGGATTAAACATGTTACACACACACTTGAATTTTTTCTTATAATACATTTTTAATACATTTTTAATAACATAATATGTAGACAATGATAATTTATAGTTTTTAATCTTTAATTTATAAAGAAATGTTTGAGATTTCGTATTTTATGATACTATTATATAAGTACTACTTAGAGGCGCCTATGCTGACATGTAGACATATCGCGTTGTAATGAACGTGTACTAGAACGAAAGTCGATCGATGTGTGTATACATATTTTATATGGATGACTTTCGTATTTTGCGTTGGACACGCAGTGAACCCTCTTCTTGTCGAACTCAAGTGACCGAGTTACAAGAATCTCTTTATTATGCGAAAGCCAAATTTTTATTCATGAGGGTTGGTCACGGTTATGTGTGCAATGAGTTTAGGGATGAAGACGGATCAAAGATAGATGACACATTATATTCTTCACACTTTGTTTTAAATGCAATAAATATATGAAATATCTAAATCTCACACAGACCTTCTCTTGTGCAAATTTATTTCCTAAATTTTATTTTAGTATAACTGGCAAATACAATGTATCAATAGTAATATATCAAATATTGATAATGTCAATAATATTTGTATTGCATGTAGTTTATAGAGAAAGTATGTTTACCAGCGAATGATCGTCGACGATGAGAGTTCTTGGCGCCCTCTGCTTCTAACCGATCAATGATAAATAGAACCTCTTAGATTTCTGAATATTTCTAAGAGATTGAATTGCTGAAAATGTTATATAAATTTTGTTTTGTCAGTAAAAAGTTTTAAACATTATTACATGTGCTTTGATTTTATTTAAGTCGTATGTATAAAGTTCTTGCACGATATTTTACAAACTAATATCTAACTGTATTATTATTATTACATATTGTTATTTTTAACACACATTATAATATGTTGCTAAATATGACTGTGTGTGTGTTAGTGATTACATAATTACAAATTATAAGTTCGTTGTAGAAAGAAAATATAAACAAGAAATATTGCAATATTTTTATATATAATTTTTATATATAAATTTTATTTTATATATTAATCATTTTAGTATAAAAACTTTTGTTTTATTATTTACTGATATGTATATATATATATATAGTTTAAAAATCTATAAAATATAATTTACCATTACATCCTGAAACAATTGTCATTTCACGATTATTGAAACGATTATTTAATCACAAACTTTCGATTTCTTACGAAATGGCTTCTATTTGCAACAGCAACACCACGTTGTGGAAGGAGCCGTAGTAGACCAACATAATATCAGTGAGATACCACATTTATGATAACATCCATTTTCAAGGCTGCAGATACACTCGCCAACCTGAAACACGTGCAACCGGTTCTATTTGGTTTCCCTATAATCTGGCAAATGGGAGCACCATGATTGTGCGCCATGATATTCCCTCTGAAATGAGCAATCGGTTTAATTATTAATTCCTGTATAAAATATCAATTCACAAATTGATTACTTCATCAAGCATGCCACACGTGTACGTATGCGATTTTATTTAATTAATTCATTTCAATGCAATTTATTAGCGAAATTTGCTGCAATTTTTTTGAAATCTTTTAGCTTTAAAAAATTTTTTACCGTATATGAAATATTAAGGATAATTAAATCACTTTGCTAACTTCCACTAATTACTTTCCACAAAGGCAAAAATTATTTTCTAAAAAGTTATTGCGTGAAGATTGTAATTGCGCAATTTTATCGGGCTCGTGCGCTTCCCGAGTTACTTAGAATGTACGCCACAAAGAAAAGAATTTCACGCAGACCGCGATCTTCGAGTCCGTTATGTGCGCGACCCCTTCACACTCATTTTCTCGCCATTGTGACTGGTAATTACAGCATCGTTTGCGGCGGTAGCAGCTGCGAAATCTTCGAGCGTACTTATCTCGCGCGGACGCAAGTATTTAATGGATGTTTTTGGATCTTCTGCGCGCGCACAAGTTTTTTTTTCTTAACAGCAAAAATAACATCCGAAAGATAAAGCGTTTATAATTCAGGAAAGCATCTTCGCGACTACAATAAAGAAAAAAACAAGAGAGTGCAATAACCTTCGTAACATCTCTTACGTTACGCAGTCTGACATCCTACTCTTGAGTGAAACACAGGTAGCACGTTCAGGAACGTGTATACGCATTCGGAACGTAGTATTCGTGACTAACGTGACCTTCACCCTTGTCTGGTTTCAATGACTGGTCATTTCTCTCGTAATAGCCAACGAACGTCTTGAGGTAGCAATCCAGCTGGTTTGTCTGAAAGACGCGAGGAGTCGCTTGAACAGGGAATAACTGCGGTAAATGCGGCTTTTGCCGTTCAGATTATGTACAGGGCGGAAAATAGCGATGACCGCAATCTGAGCTCGAAATCACGCAGTACATATTACACGAACGGACTTGCGCGAAATACGCTATTATCCTGCAAACACCAATCCTTTGTTGGGAGTTACACATATTTCCTTCCCACGATTAAACCAAAAAAAAAAAAAAAATATATATACGAATCCGTTTTTAGACACGATATTTCTATCGCGTTTACCGCAAACCGGCTCGTTTGCGCCTCGCTGAATCTAATCTAAGGTTTTACCATTAAAAATGATTGTCATTCTTCTCCCTAACGTGAAATAATAATAAAAAAAATTATTATCGTCGCAATAAGTGCATGTAATAATTGTATAGTTATTCTAAATTTATCTTCTCTGTCTCTTATTCACGCGCGCGTGTGAGAATATATCTTTTATTTGGCAAGAATGTCTCTGGATCATCCCGCGACACAATAAAACATTGACACAATTGCGTGTCCCGTAAGGCTGAATTTAAATGCCTTTCACCAACAGTACTCGTGATCATGTAACACTTCGTGTAACACGTAATAACCGGATCTGGAAGAACTCTCTCGACAAGAGAAGAGAACGATCGAAAAAAATTGTTTCGCGCTTCGGCTCGAATAAGAGCCAAAAAATTTTTTTGTCGCTTGATAGCGCTAAAAGTAAACGTCATAGGTGTTAGGGAGAAAAAACAATTGACTCTATTTAAGTAGCGAATAAACGTGAGAACGGAAACGGACGCTAGAGGTGGCGCAAATTAAGCTTTATTGTTAAGGAACAACAGGAAGAGAAATTATTGTCATTAATAAGTAAGAAGGAAGTTAACGGGTAATGAAGTCGCGCGAACTCAGTACGAAAATTACATAACAGACCATTATTATCGAGTCTTGCAAAATGCTGAATCTGAGCAAAATGATTATCACGCGCGCGCGCTATTAATTAATCAGTGTGGCACCTTCAAGAATTTATTTAGCATCACAGGTGCGCACGATGATTAAATATTGTTGAATTATATTGACTTTGTACTAAATTGCTAGAATGTTATGCAAAAAATAAACATAATGGTTTTCTTGATTGCACAGATTGGATAAAAACAAAAATAAATAAATAATCGAAACGTTTGATCTGATAATCTCTTTTAAAGTCTAATTTAAATTGTTTCCCAAGAGCTTGTTTTTTTTTTTTTAGTTAAATATTTGTGTGGTAAAATAATTAATAACCGCTTCACATTTCTTTTTTTCGTTACGGTTCTTAATTTCTTTATCGTATATTGTATTTTTAGAGAAAATGTCACGCAATTTTACTTTAAAACTGTTTCTTATTCATGATTTTCCAAATTGTAGTTTATATATATATATATATTCAAAGAGCAGTCGGACACAGTATACTTTGAGCGAAAATGGGAAATGTTATGTAAATCGGATCAGGAACGGCGCCTTTGCTCGCATGCATACGCAAGGTATAATTGACATCGCTTACCACTTGCTCAACGAAGGTCATCCGAATTGCTCTACGCACAAAGAGAATGGCATAAAAATGTTAGAAAACATTTTACTTTAACTAGCAGAGAATTTATAATCAATTACTATTTTAACATATATTTCTAATAAAATAAAATATTAGATTGTTTGAGAAAAAGTGATAAAAGTCCCTTTTTTATCAATATCGAGTGTATAACGCGTAAAAAAGAAATGCTATTCTCATCGATTCTAAAATTATTCTAATGACAATTGAATCTCAATTTTTGCAATTGATATAAAAAATGTACAAAAATTATCAGAAAACGTCAACAAAATCTCGGGAAATTACTAAATATCAGGGGGAGTCCGCGAGATCGGCAGGAAACCCCGCAAGTTCTTTTTATCTAGTTTACCACCCACAGCGTGAAATTTGCCCCACTCTCACCGATCGTGCATGATTACAAGCCTGTTCACATTCGGCACACGCACACGCATAAAGACACGGCGGGAGCACGCACGACAACTATACGCAGTGCATTGCCGCACTTTCGTACACGGAGTGCGCTCTCTTGCGGTCGCTCGCTCGCTCGCTCGTTCGTTCGCTCCCTTGCTCAACGCGAGTAGATACGAGATTTCAGCCGCAGTCGCAGACGCTCAGTGCCCACGGTCAGATCGGGGTCCCGACCACAAGAAAGAGAGACCCCGAGCGCAGAAACGTCAAGTCGATCGCGCTCGAGATCGATCGATCGCGCCGGCGGAATCGCCCAAGTGTCTCTTCCCCACCCTTCCGGACAGGAAAACCCTGTCGGACGAGGTGCTCGCCGTGATTTTGTTTATCCGCCGATCGATCGATCGATCGTTCGATTCGCGATCTAGCGCGTCGCCGAGCGCGAGTAACCCTCTCAACATCCTTTTCCTCGTGTGCGACACGAGGAAGATTGAAGAACGGGCGCGAGGACGGGAACGAGGGTGAACGGAAACTCGATGTCCGGTTTGTTATCGATCGACCGAGAGTCGACAGGTCGGGAGATGGATGCAGCCGCAAAAGATAGCCAAGGAGATTTCGTCCCGGCATAGATCGATCGGTGCATGCAGTCGTGTACGTTATTCGGTCGGCTGTGTGTGAATACGCGAACCGGATGATCTAGAATTGATTTCATACAAGACGATCGAAGATGCTATTGATTAATTTGTAATTTTGCCAAAGCTAGCGCGATGTTTACAAGTGAACAAAGTTTATGAGAGATTAAAATCATTTAATTTGCTGATATTGATTTTGTAAGGAGCCGCAATAATGGCCGTCGATTGATTTTTTGTAAAACTCAATTGCGGTGTATCACGTTCCGGAGATAAATAAATTTCAAGAAACAAAAATGGGAAGATTCCAAAGTGTTTAGGTAAGAGCTCACATATATTGTTATTTATTTATAATCGGTAAACTTATGAAACAAAAAACATGTGTAAACGTAAAATTGCAACTTGGACGTTGAATATCGGACGTTTTTAATTTGTAGCATAATTATATTTTCCTTGTCGTTTAATTAATAATAAAATTAATGGCCGTAACGATTATATTGAAATTTGCAATGAAAATCAGAAAATAAAATAATCTAATGAAAAATTAATATGCAATTCCAATACACAATTAATTTTTTTATCTTTATATAATGTCGAGATATTTTATATTCAGAAAATTATTGATACTAGCTGTCACACACGTTTTTATGTAAATAAGCAACCCCTCATGAATAAAATAATTTTTCTTTGCTCCGTGACCAATTCGGACGTCTATTTTTCTCTCTCGGTTTGGCTTTCTTGGAAACTATATTGTACTCTGAAACATCATTTCTTTTATGATAGTTTTTTTCAATCGAATTCGTGCTTCGTGATCGAAGCTAAAGCAAGTCGTGAAACCTTTTTACCTTAAAATCTTTTCAAAAAAATGTTTTAACGTTTGACTACAGTTGTGACAATAAAACCGTGCATGACGAGAGAATGGAGAGTCCGAATTTATTGCTGAGCGGCTTACGAAAATGTAGAAAATATTCATTACGACGTTACGTGCCAACGAGTGCGAATCCGGCATAAACAGATTGGTTGCGAACACGACCGGTGCGACTTGGAGACAGAACAGATTTGCTGCAGGCTAGTGTAAGTCTCTTTTTCAGGAAGAAAACTTATCATTGATAATGATAATGTGCATATACATATATGTACATGTATACGTGAACTCGCTGCTCTAATATTGCATATCGACTTACCTACTTACCCAACGCGTTATTCAACATCGCACGCCGAAAGCTGCCATCGCATTCCGTGGTAGCGACCGAAATTCTATCTGAATTATTCGCACTAATCGCGATTCAATACGCTCGCTTTGTTTCGCCGATCAGCGAGCAGCTCATACATACATTCGCAATATTATGCAATTTCAAATTACCGAAACTTAATAAAGTTTGTGTCTGCAATATATTTGTATGTATATAATGTATAGAAAGCGATACGTCAGAAACGTATAAACGTCGGATACACTTACGCGGTTATAACAAAAAAAAAAAGATAATTTATAAAATAATAATGCACATTATTATTATTTGAAGGATTATACTTAGCCGTGTTACAACTTTTCAACCGGCAATTAACGGAAGTTTAATAAGGCTAAGCCGCGTACACATCGCAATGTGTGGAGAGGTCCCCCGTGAAGCGGTAAATTATAATTTAAAATGATGACCGTTCATCTCTCTTTGCACTACCGTGTAATAAGTAAGTGTTGCATATGAATTGAGGTCAACGAAAACAAAAAACCAGGTTTCCTCGCTTGAGATTTAATTATAGGTTTTTACAATAATAAATCTAACATGCAAATTATAGGGAATAGAATTTCCGAGTTTGGTGAATTAAAAATATAATATTACGTTACACTTTGTACAATCTTTATTTTGTTTTTATATACACGAAATCTATCCCACGCGCACGTGATTTTATAAATCCAACACATTTTCACATATATAATACACAATTATATTTTGCTATAGTGATGAAAGATTTGCACTTGCGTTATAACAAAATAAAACGGAACGCATATTTAGCAATCGGTGCTAGACCAAAGAGAGCAGACAAACGGACAGACAGAAAGTTTAATTGCGGCACAGCAGCCTTGGACTCGTTGTACTTGAAGAGTCGAAGAAGTTTGTCCTACTCGTCCGCATGAATTGCCGCGATGTTAAAAGAATCCTACGATAACTGTGCCGCGAAAACATTAACCTTCGCTCGTCGTCGAAGTATTTGTCGTCAAGTTGTTTTTTACCGAACAACCTCGGGATAACAAGAACGCGTGTTGCGCGCTAATCGGTAATCGCGCCACAACCTCGTCAAAGTGGCTTCATAAAAATCGAGAAGAGAGCGATCAGGAAGATCGAGCGGAAATTAAGAAGTAAATAGAAGCATTAGGCAGATAAGCGCGTCTCTGTCTAATTACGAACGCAACCTTCAACAAGTGAAAGCAGAGTGCGGTCGTCTGTCTGCAACGTTCTCGCACGCACTTACGCGTCAGACTAATAAAACGGACCAGACGAGATTACCCGAGCAATTTATTTATAAACTCGCGCAAAAAGCTTTCGCGCTATGGATTTTTTTTATTATGATCAATTAAATGACAAAGAATATTCCTCTTTTTATCACGCGGCAGTCGCGTATGTTGAACACGTGTGGCTGCGCGTATTCTTTGATTCACGATCGTGTCTATTCAACGCGACGAGAATTCGTTGCTTATGTATCGGTGCGTATATAAATTAACTGCTCACGATGTAAAGACACTTTCTTGAAAGAGTATTTAATATTTCGTTACGTAAACGCATTACGATCGTTTTATCTCGAACATTCACCCTTGTCGCTAAATCCTTGTATCGGCAGATAAATTAATCTCGTGTTACCTACGTATAATAAATTAATGCGCGAATATTGTATATAAGTGTCAAGATGACGTGAATCGTTAGACAGAACAGAAGTCACTTTCAACTTCATATCTATATTCTATAGTCACGGCAGTGTTGCGATAGTCACGATAGTCGTTGATCTGTGCAGCAAAAAAAGTGCATGAAAAAGATGCATTTGTTGCACGATTTGCTACAGAAATTACTGAACTACTTTCGACGATGTCGAAGCGGGTAGGTTCGTTTGCTCGCGTAAGGTGAACGTCGGAGAATGAGCTACCGTTAACAGCTGATTTGCTATGTAGTTTGTGCGCCGTCTTTGATTACGTAAATTCGATTAGAGTGTCTACTTTCGGACTACGATTCTCCTTGAACGCGTCACTCTTGCTATCGCGGAGAACTGCAAGTTCAATGGTATCAGAGTAAGATTTTTTATCCGTGGCTAATCTCTCATCAATGTGATATTTTGCAATCGCTACGTGATTTTATTCAGACGCTTTTTCCTCAGTCCGCGAACGAGCAAAACGTAAATCGTCGCTAATTCAATCGCTTAAGAATCCAAGCCTGCGTTAAAATAAAAATTGTTCAAAATTATTATATTATTATTTTTGAGCATATAATATTTTATTTATATATAATGTTTAATATGTATCATGTTTTCAATACGTAAAATTATTAAATCTACTAAAGTCACACTAAAGAAAATTTGATGACAAGTGACATTTTTCTAAAACACTTAATACTGTATGATGTAAGTGGAATTTGACCTTTCAATCTCGCATAAAGATTAAGAGACCTCTATTTAGGTCATGGTATTGATGTTGTTCACGTGATTACAGTTAATTAACGATGGTCCGCGTCGCGTCCTTGTTGAAAACCTTCAGACATCAGGACGCTTGTTGTGTTCAAAACAGCGCATATAAATTAACACATAAATTGCGGATCTACTTTGATTAATTAGTAACGTCACATGTTTGTTTTAATTTTAGAATTATGAAAGCAAAGAAACAAACAACCACGTTGCAGACCTAATAAAGTTAACAGAACGACAATGTAACCGAAATTGTTTATTTTACAAGTGTCAAAAACTTGATTTTAATATTAAATTAATGTTTTTAACATGTATATTGATATATACATGCGATTATATGTATATCATATATCGTACTAACAATCTCTTCATAACTCGCTGAATATAATGCTGAAATATGTCAGGTTAGATCAGATTAACGGTGATATTGCTAACAATGAGATAATTACGTGTACTCGCCTTTCTTTATTTCACGGTGACTGTCTTTTTTTTTTCTATTCATGTTGCTCTTGTTGCCGTCACGATTACACGCCATTACAGAAATTACGTACCCGCGCGCTCTCGTTTAACACCAGGATGTATCTTATTATTTTCGTTCTAGGATTTCGTCGATATACGAGCTTTTATTCGCGTGTACAATCACGCAATCCTACGCGTTATAATCATCGTTAATAATAGACTTCGGTTCAACGTTAGAGTTGCGGTATTGCAGGGCTATTTGTCGAATTTGCAGCATGTGAGGACAGTTGTATAATCGTCTTATCTTTGCGCGTTGCCGCAAATGTCAAGTGCCAAGATTAGCTTAAATTATTTCTTAAGTGCTTATTTAACAAAGTCAACTTTCAAAGCTCATTAGCATACGAATTGAATTTGTCTTCAGTCGCGACAAAGTATATTGGGCGACGAGAAAAACCGACTGAGTCAGCTCGCTAAGAATTGCCATTCGCGCAATTGTGTGCCGAGCAAACTTATTACTCATAGGTTTAATCGATCATCTCGCAGGTGCAAGAAATGAATTCAACAATGGACACAAAGCGGCGCGCGACTACTATGCGCCGTTTAGCCGTTGTTGGTTGTGGTTTTCACCGCATTTATCACCCGTATCATGCACGCACTTTCACACTCCGAGACGCCGGTCGTGTCGCGCGCACGCGATATCACGTCGCGGATATGCGCCCGGCACACAGTGGTTCAAAGTCGCGAAAACGTGGCCAAAACTCCAAAAATGAAGTTTCTATTTAGGGAATTTTAACTATTGGGTTGTCAACAGTAAGAACAGGTCTTTTGAATCTTACAGGAAAGAAGGGTCGTCCCTTTATACCTGACCTTGTAGCACAGTCGAAAGTTAGCGTTTGTGCGAGCTACAAACAGCGTGTACAGTCAAGAAAAATCAACACACTTTTAAGAAAAACATACCTTCAAAAAAATAAGAAACATATTTTAATTCTGCAAAATGGAGGCTGTTCCTGCACGTAAGTAGAATAATTATTACCATTAACATGATCAAGTTTATTTACTTTTGTACTGTATTATTTAAATATTGTATAAGTCAAAAATGAGGTAAAGATCTGTGTTAAACATTTAAAAATGTAAAGGGAAAGTTGTTATTTCCACTTATTTCCACTATAAAACCAAAACAAGCTTATAGTTTAGACTCTTACTTTGCAAAATTCGCAAAACTTAGTTGCGGTTTTTTGCGGTTTTGCTTATGCCGACAGGCACTAGCATGTCTGTTACCACCACAGTGATTCTACATCATCGTGACATCGTGATTCAAGCATGAAAACATACTTCAATTCAAATAAAAATCGGTAATTTTCGAAAATGCGGGAAAATCTGCCACCATAACAGGAGTAAATGAAGATCTTATAAGAAAGTTCCACATTATACTGCAAGTTATTTCTAGTGGTTATAATATAAATCTTACTCACTTTAACGACTATGCAATAGAGAAACTGCTAAACAATTTGTAGAACTTTATCCTTGGTATTACATGCCGACATCTATCTATAAACTTTTAATTCATGGAACGGAAATCGTGTCTTTTGCGATATTACCAATAGGGCAATTGTCGGAAGAATCTCAGGAAGCTCTTAACAAATATATAAAAGAATATCGTCGAAATTTTTCACGGAAATCTTCTCGAACCAACACTATGAAAGACGTTTTCTTGCGACTTCTAGTAGCGTCTGATCCATTTATTACTAATATGCGCAAATTGCCTCCCCCCCCAAAAAAAATAAGAAGTTTATATCCAGAAGCTGTAAATTTATTAGAGCTGCACCAAACGTAGAAAGTGAAAGCGAATATAGCACGAGCGAATCTACTATCGCGATTCCGATGATAATGAATTTTGTTATTAATTATATTTTAACTATATTTTAATTCATTTTTAATTATATTTTAAT